AGCTGAATTGTATCTGGTGAAACACATCCCGTCGTTAGATACGTCTCATACATTATGTACAACAAATGACGAGTATGTGCAAGAGCTTTCGTTAGAGGTGTATTGCAAGTGTTCCAATAACGTTATAGAAGTTCCAAAACGCAGCCAAGCGGTTAGTGCGTAGTTACGCGGCTCAATGCAAGGCTCTACATATACTAAATGTCGTTAGGCCTAGAACTGAGTTTGTATTATAAGCAAACGCTCTATCTAAGTAATTGACTTTATATATAGTTATAGTAACTTATATAGATACCATTACGGTGAAATGATTTACTCGATATCTCAAAAGCAAATTAACCTTTATACTTATATATAGAGGTACTTCCGCTATAGCTTGTGTAGTCTATGAAACAGGAATAGAACTTTGACAAGCGTTCCCTATAGACGCAGGAAATCCATAATTGACACAAGTAAATTCGTAACTTCGAACGGTTGATCGTGGTCAGAATATTATCAATTGACATGTTCTGTTGTCATACTTCATCAGGCGTCTATATCAAACATATCTATTTACGTATCCGACGCATGTAATAAATTTACCTACCTGGTCGTTAAAATATACCGCCATGGGGCAAATCTAGGTTTTGACAACTTTCGATCTATCTGCATCTAATGCCAATACAGCGTAATTAACTGACGGTGCATTTCTCGTTTTTGGGAAAATGTTGTATATAAAAGTATGGCTTTGTTGAGGAGCTGATTACTGAATTTCGGCAAAAAAATCCGAGAAAGCTCAACGAACGCTGAAATCACGATTCGATCGCTCTTCGTTGTGAGCCAGAAGCTATCGCGGGCGATATTTTGCTAGGCACAAAGCCGAAATGAACGATCTCGAGTATTTGAAGACAAAGCTGACAGGGGCTTTAGTCAATACGCGCTACTCGTGCCTCGGTGCCACTCGGCTCTATGGATTTTTGAATGGGCTCAAATTTGTGATCGAGGGTCAGCAATGATCTACTTCGACGGTTAGAAGAATAACTACGCATAGACAGTTTTCTCTGAAATGTTCTATATGTAAATGCACTTCTCCACGCATTTGTGGAGAAACAAATGGTGTTTTGCGCGCGCAATTTGAATCATGCAGAGACAAAGACTTCGAAATACAATGCTATATATAGATCATGTGTAGCGATACTTACACAACATTATCCGTGTGCTTTTCCTTATCTGTATTTAAAACGACAACGGTGAACATACAAAGAGTATTAGACATTACATTGTTCGCACGTAGAAGAGCCAATCTACATTAGACAGACTGAATTACAAACGTTACGTTTGACGACGATTACGCTCAGATAGAGTACTATAGTGGTTCAATCTGAGATAATTTATCTTTTATTGTGCTTAGTTCTAGTCGATACGGGATTCAGGTGCCACAATGTAAATTGTTGGGTTGTGATGCATTGTTTTTTGGCGTTAGTGCTTGCTTCGTGTGTTAAGCGTTTCCACGTAATCTCCTTTGTCCTTGGGCAAAACCTAGCACAGCGTTAACTCAAAAATTTCGAGTTTCGTGCCATGTGGGGTGATCTGTTGTAGTTGAAACGAAAAGTCGAGCATAAGATCAGAAGCACTGAAAATCTCGAAAATGACCAAATTAAGGTATATAGCCTTTGTAAGGTTTTCCCTATTTGCGACGAACGTTGAACAGCTCTCCTACGACAACTGCTTCTCTTCTTGTTGGTCGCCCGCGGCGCCATTAAGGCTTCCTGATTTTTAGGAAGTGACCTGTGTTCAGCACCACGTTGTCTCTTCGAACCTACTATACGTGGTGCTGTTGAAGGTCGTTTTAAGGAAACCTTGGTCCTATTTAATTTTTCTGAGAACTTCTTGTCCGTGATATTCCCGTTTCAGACGACTGTGTTGTCTAGAAGTGGTTTTGCCAATAGCATTCTATCGCCAAAGCTAGAAAACCAGCCTTCTCTACTTTAACAAGAGTCTATAGTGAACCTATAGATGTTGGATGTCATTTGGTGCGATGAATGGATCCTACATATGCCTATCAGGTAAGTATGTTCGAATGTTTTAAGCTCAGCTTAAAGAAAGAAGCTTGAGTGAAAAACTCAAGTGATGTCAACATTCAGCGGTAGTCTATGCCCCAACTCTTCCTTAAAGCTGTTTTAGCTACAACACAATTTGTGTATTTTTTTTTTTTATGTTTCAGTCTACCAATCAGAGTCACCTTATGGCACGCAGAGTCTCCTATCTCAGGATTAACGACAGCCGGAATGTCGTTTTCGTCATTGCGAAGGTGACGAAAATCTCCGCTTTAACATAAAAAAATTCGTGACGCAAATGATGGTTTTTTTCCTAAGGAGAGGCAAATAATTGCTGGACTTCGGCGAAATATTACCTTTGAGTAAATTGGGAGTTTCTGCCAATCGTCTCTAATTAAGTACACAATCGATTGATTTTCCAACTAGACGGTCCACACTCATTGGTAAACGTTTTCGAACGGTTTGCGGCCAGTTTTTTTTCTAATTTCTAATTATTTGTTTTTTTTTCAGCAACTCTTTATAAGGATAAATAAGATGACGAAAGATCAAGGGCAAACATCAAGCAATATCAATTCATCCTAGCCAAACAGAATAATCAAGCAACGTTGAGGATTCTAAAGATAAAATTTTCTTTCTATCCTTTGTCAGAATAAATAAAGAGTTATCTCTACAGCTTTTTTGAATCCCTTAGGGAGCAGCATTGTCTATTAGCTATCGAGCGATGAATTGCCATTGTTCAGTTATCCATCTACAGCCAACCTCTGACCGCAAACCGTTCCAACCGCTTTACGATGGCGGCAAAATGCACACTCCACAGCCGGAATGTTTGTTGTACGGCTAAAAAAAAAAAGCGCATCGTGACTTCTTAACTATAGTTCCTAAAAGAACTGGACAAATTTAGCAATTTGTATAATGTGCAGTTATATTACGTCTCTCATTGCACATGATAAACACACACCTGAGACAGATAAAACAACCTGGGAAATCCGACGATCTTTGTCCCTTTTACTTTCGGCTCGTGGCCATTGCACATTGTTACTGCTCCGCATTACAGTCGCATCGCCAGAAACACCCGGGACCCTTTTTGGACTGGATGTTTTTACTTATTCACGTTAAGTTTGACGATAAGCATTGCTCATGCGAATCGTCAGCTGATTAGTGTTTATGTCCGGCCGTTCTCTCCGTACTGTACTTCGAAAGTCGTTCCAGCAATAGCTCGAGTATACGAATAATGCCCCAGCAGCACTTGCCAACGATCATAAGCCCTAGTGCATAACGCTGCAGCTCTGGCAGCCCAAGGAAAATTAAAAAAAAAAAACAGTTGCCGGAAGGTAGAGCTCAGCAAAGAGTGCTTCAAGGTCGCCAGCGCCTCGTCAGGCCGGTGCTAACATAGGAGGAAGGTCGGCACCATCATCGCCCACGCACTCGACATACATTTTCTGGTCAGTGAGTATACATTGTCGAAATAATGGTCAATAAGATGGTAATAAAGGTGGATCTCCTTTGAGAATTGGGTTAAATGGGAAACAGGAAGTCAAAACAGCAGAACAACGACAACAACTCTCTCTCTCTCTCTATATATATTAAGCAATATCCTTGCGGGCCAATTGCTATCGGTACGAGTGCGGGGTGTGTAAACCCCCCAAACCATAAAGGCGTGTTCTGATACCTATTTCCGTTTATCTTGTCTTCTGCCTCTCACGAACACGTCATCGCAGCGCATAGACTCACACACATAGCTTATGAGAGCATTAGACGAAAATCTTTATAACGAATACTCTTCCTTCTAACCAGCGCCCGCTCTGTTGTGACCAGTATCACACTTTATATAAATTTCCACCTGCCGCATATGTAATACGCTATCGAATGCCTCTCATTTCCGGCATCCAGAAAAAGCAGACCAGCTTGAAAGGCGTCTCTGCTAGTGGTTTCCGGAGAGCAACGCAGCAGACGCGGCAGGATACACAAGCTACATGGAAAAACAACAGTGAATAGGCATTTAGCAAACATTTGCTAGCTTCTCCACTTGCCTTATAAGCTTTTGTCGGAAGCTGTACTTCTACCTGTCGTAATCTAGCGTTCAGAGGAACTGAGTTGGAATTACGTTGGCCGGTTATCCAGCGGTGCCATTTCGATCGAGTTGCGCTGCCTGGCCGATGGTATGGCACTTGACTGCTCAGTTGGCGAGCTGTGCCATCCCCAATAGGTCGAAGTTGCCCGAGCTGATTTCCGATACCAGCAGGTTATTGGATAAGTAATATATAACTTACAATACAAGGATCAAAAGGATTCAGTAGAATGATAACGGATTCCGTTCGCGTTCTATGTACGCTCTCTTTGTGGAGCGGAACACGAGGTGACTTAACTGTATATAAACGATCAACCAAGTGGGCCAGCGTCTCAACGAGACGATAGTTGAGGCGAGTCTTTAAGCAGAAAAACGTAGCAAATATAAACACACTATAGGCTAGCTGCATACTTTTTTACAGCAAAAGGGCTAGACACTATGGGCACGGTTTGACCGGGAAATAAAAAGTTCTTAAGTGTGTGCCTGTCTATTTCGAATAGTTTACTGTGTTACGTCGGTCGTTTGATAGGATACTAAAGGACACTAGGAACTGAGTCACCGTTGTTCCGGAAGGTGGCAATTCGAAAGAAGAGCAAGCGAAGACGTCCGATACAAAATAGCAGATAGGAGAGCTTTTTCAAGCCAAAAGATTTCGAAGTGCTATTTCTCTCTGGTGTATCCTGCACGCTGATCATTGATGTCCATCATGTCCTTTTCTAGCTGATAGTTATGGCGCCCCTTAAGTGAAACAAATTACATGTCAAGATTCCGGCGCGGTGACTAATCTTTAAACTGATAAGAAACAAAATCGTCGGCTGATTTATATTATATATATATATAAGTGTACAGCTATAATGTTGTTAGGCACTAACTAGGTAGTGCCTTTTTCACAAACTCACTTTTCAATGTGGTTGTTGGTCTTTCGCTGAGATGGTCGTTGACTGGTCCGCACGCTGGAAATCAAAGATATTCGTGGGCCCGTAGTTCTGGATTCAACTTCCTCATTGACAGATGCGAAATTATGCACAGAACTCTATTGCTGCTGTTTGCTGCGACGAAGACTCCTATGCTGTTTGATGCACTCGAGCTACAGGACCCATGCGTACCTGCAGCAACGAAAAAGACCAGAGTGCAGTTTGCGTCCTTCGAAAAAATCGCGCGGCTCCGCGATTAGAGCCATCATTAGTATATAGATGCTTATCACGACCACCCCCTAGTCCGAGGGTTAGCATGATTAGGTAGGTCGCTTCAAAGAAATTGATATCCGACTGAGCGAGGCTCGTATTCTTTGACGCACGATAGTGAAGGATCACCATATTGACGCCGTCTACGCACACGTTTACGTAACACTGAACGTACTGATACTTTTTCATTTTCGTACAGGAAACTACTGCTCCTTTTCAGCGGCGGCCCAGCTTACACAGGAACGGTAGGAATCGAAGTTGCGTGCGCAATGGTTCTACTGCTCCGGCAATTTAGCAGTAATGTGGCCAGGTGTACTTGCTTCATCCAGAAAATCCATGCTTATGCACAGTTGAGTGGAGCGTCAGCTACTTGTGCCTGCTCATACGGATGCCCCGCAAAAATTGGTGAACACGAAGCCTGTCAACGCTATTATGAATGCCCCGAGATCACGTAATTGGATGCGGCCGTGCCAGCGGGGAAGGGTGTTTGTTCCAGCTCACGAATTCCGCTAGCTCCGACTGGGTGAATAACAACATTCTAGCGTCAAAGCAAGTGACGCTTGAAGGCCGCTGACCTGTACTCGATGGTGCCGACGGCCTACCTCAATCTATGGTCGACCACCAGAGTTTCCCCAATAGCAGCAGCAGTTCTGAATAGGCCATTGACACTTCTGCTTCTGCTAACAACTGTGGTAGTGAGATATTGTGTTAGTTAGCTATGGATCACTCTATTTTTGCATCCGCTGCCCTTTTAGCCGCCACGACTGTCGCGACCACATTCAGCATTTGCTGCTATCATCATGAACAGGTTGGCAGCATTGGGTCAGGCGGGTCGTTGGTAATACCACTACTAGCTATTGTTGCTCAGCTTACACTTTGCCTTGTGAATCTTTCTCGATGTCACCTGCATTCGTTATTTCGTGGATACGTAATATATAGGCCTTCTCCTGTGGAGGGAACGGCCTTAAAGGTACACTCGGTTCCCGAGTAATTATACGACAACGCCGCGTTTTTGCTATAGGTGCCATCATTATCCAACGGAAGAAGGTGCCAATACACCATAACAGACCAAAGGTGACGAGGAGATAACCGAGGGCATCGACGTCACAGTAAGTGAAATGAGACCGCCAATACCAACCGCCATTTTCTTTGCCGACGAATGTCACTATCACTACGATCAATCCAAGAATCATCATCGTCAAACCAATCAGAAGCATGGCCATTGTTCCAGGAAGAGTACAACAGAAGTTGCCAGATACCTCTTTGCCAATTCCTTTACGATACCGTAGCACGAGCATCGTGTGAAATTATTTACTGATTGCTATCTACCCTTAATTGCGTACCACACCGAAATACTAACAAATAGGAGCAGATACAGTAGCTATCACAAGCGGCTTGACCTCGTGTCGTAGTAGCACGCTTGTTAACAGTTGAACGCAGAAGCGATTGCTATTATTCAGAATCAGCTAGAAATCGCGACTGACGTCGTGACCGCGTGTGTACACGCTTTGAGGTTCGCGGCTGAGTAAATTCTGCCGGCACGGTGAGAGCTTCTATCGTACCGTAGGCGAGGGCAACCCTCGACCGGAGAGGGTAAATTCCACTAGCTTCTCAGGGCATGGGATGTTGAGTATGAAGCTCTACGTTATCCTAGCTGGGTTGGAGGCATTAGGAGCGGGCGTGCGGCAAAAGCAGTCGTACCGAACGTGCGAGAATTACCTATCAGTCGTGGGAAAAAATGTAAATACCTTGTCAGGTGATCTGACCTCGCCTCAGCAGACTAACCGAATTTCGCCTTGCCACTGCCGAAAAATCAACATGCCGGCCAGTGGCCTTCTTTTAGTCCTATTGTACTTGCCACGTTTGTCAACGCCCGATAACACGATTTCTGGTGCCGACCAGCCGGCGTCCGCGACGACAAGGGATTTCTCTAAGCCGACTAAATTTACGTTGAGGTAGGCAAGAATCGAGCACATCAGATCATTAAATTCAACACTGCAGTTTCGCCTTTTCCAAATTCGTTTTTCGCCCGAATGAAGCCTTTGTCGAATAGCTTTAACTTTAAACTTCGTTGCTCACCAGCGGTTAGGCTAGCTTACTTTTTTTTAGCTCGTACGGCTGTACCTACCATCTTGTTGATCTACATGACTACGCTCTTGTTTGAAACCGTTGGCGATTGCCACCCCTGGGGCAAGCCCGGACATTGGTTCACACCAGTCAGGTGTTTCGAAAATAGGAAGGAAGTGAGAAAGCCGCCGCGTAGTAGTCTTCTCGCCCATGCTTTACAGGTAGGTATATTGTATACTTTTCTGACTTAGCCGAAGCAAAACAAGTTTAGTTGAACAGAGCTAGCCTTTTAGCTGGAAAGACCGTTCCAGGTAGTGTTAGCGTCAACCTTCAACGCGATACTATTGACGGTAAAGTCCGGAGCTGTGTCAAATAGACTTACTCAGTTTGTCATGTATTGGTCGGGGTAACGCAGCCCAATTTACCAGCTTTGTATACGGCCATCAGCTAGAAAAGTCGTTGCTGGGACAATATGAGCAAATTGATATATTAAACAAAAAAGGTGGGTATACTTGGCAACGGCGGCCCCAGATTTCTATCTATGACGATGAATGGTGACTATGATGCTGCTACGGGATGGGGTGGCAAATCACACATACTTTGAATTTAGCCGTCCTCTATGACGCATTCCAACGCTACTATACTTAGTAGTTGGACCTCTTTAGTCCGCAACAGTGGCATCAACCGGCAGCAAAGGGACAACTACCCAGTTGCGGATCGATAGAAGGCTGATCATTGGCCTCTAAATACTGCCCATGCAAAGGCGTGCACCAGCTGTAAATCGCTGTGCCGTCATATGTCGTCGTCGGTCGCTGGACGAACCACTCCTGACGCCTGTGGAAGCTGGCGGCAAAGGTCGAAGCACCATTACGATCCGAGTATCTACATGAACAAAAACTAACTTTGCGTGCGGTTCTGCCACCTGCCTTCGGCAAGTGCTGTTTTCAGCCACTCGATGATTCGAAGTTGCTGCTTGTGAACAGCCACGGATAAGGCCACAATCCTAATGCCTGTTGCGACCGCTGCATTAGGCCAAAAAGTTCTACATGACTGAACGTGCACCTACTGCCCTTGGATATGATCGCCACGGACGCACAGTCGTTTCTGTTCTTTGTTCTGTTGTCTGCGATCTCTGCTGCTACCGCGCAGACGCGTGCAGCTAGCGAGAGGGGCGTTGATCTTTTTCGACCATAGAAACTCAGTAGTCCGCAGCTGGGTGCCGACTGTGCACGTCATTATAATAGCTATGATCATGACGATCTCAAGGGGATTATCAAGGTAGCCGAACGTCACCTTTGTCACCTGTTGTTGTTTATTAGTTGCGAAAATTACCGCTTCACTAGGGAAAAGCGAAGGGTGCTATTAGTGGTCGATTTCTGATAGATAGCGTAATGTCATTGACATAATGTCAACTGTTACTAGTTAGTATGTATAATATCACACATGCGGATAGACAAAGGAGTGTTCTCCATCTCTGGGATTATTGGGGAGGCTTCAATGGAAGAATATATTTGCTGCATTGATCTTGGTAGTTAGAAGGCCATCTGCCAAATCAGTTGGCTAAAAATGATTTTGATGTCCTTCCCAGTGCTTCAAAAATGATGGCCAGAACCACTTAAGCTTGTGGCTATAACACTGATTGTAGTTGCATCATAATCTGAGCTGCACTCGACTAAGCTTTTAATTCCAAATGCTTATGAACATACGTGCTTCCCGTATAATCGGCCAGGTTGACGAATAAAACGCGACCTCAGACGCGGATAGCAGTAAAACGACGTCCATTTAATCACGAAAATAATGCCAACAGGTACCTACATTTTACACTACTGATCACCCCCGCAAAAACTCTTGATGAGCTGGTTAGAAACAGGCCGCTGTGTACAATGACTACACGCACAAATATCGATCAGGAAAGGTGCATCCCATTAGGAGCCTACTATAAGGCCTTTTCGTACCATAAAATGGGCCATCGTATGAGCGCGAGCGATTCGGAATTCCAAAGTGTCACTGGCCGAGGTGCAGCAATCGCAAGTTCATGGCACCAGCAACAGGCGCTATTACGAAGACAGCGACATTACTATTCCCTTTTGAAGTTCTAATAGTTGAGTCATCGTCTCGAAGGGGCTTCACATCTCGACTGTCTGCTCTGCACAAACCGGTCGTTTTATTGGGCCATAGTTCGAATTCCTTCGTCAGCATAATCATATTAATAATTCCAATATCTCGAATACCTTGGGAGTCTAACAAGCTGCGGCTTGGTCAGGAAGATCGTCTGCTATTCTCTATGGAACCTTGCCTCGTTCGCTCTGTAGTGCCCATTGGATAGCCATACAAGCTCGCTTCTTTTAGGCTTGGCCCAACTCGTTTTTCCAAACAGGAACGAAAGAAGCTGTCGAGGCTGTTCATTGATAACCATTTTAAAGACAGCAGTCGCGACTGTGCAGCTCAACATCTACCTCGAGTCCGGCCCAGCGAGCCATCTGCTGTCCAGAGCAGGGAACTTTCGCTACGAGACGCCGTATGTCAAATCACATGAGCTCACGTCAAAGGAAACAGCCAACCCAAGTGTCGTTGCCAGATAAATGAAGAGAAAGAGGGAGGACGACGGAAATATATGGACTGAGAAAGAAAATTATAGAGTTAACGGAAGGAGAAACTCAAGGAACGAGCAACAGCTATATCTTACATGAAGTAGGTTTCTCACTGGACCTCCCTGAACCGGACAATGTCAGGAGTATTGTGCTTCCTTCGCCCCGTAACACTACACAGCAAACCCTTTGAAACTTGACGCTGGCTGGCACTGTAGGAAGTATGGCCTGAAGCAACACGAGCCGTCCGAGTTCAAGGTCACTGGGTCGCATGCTTTAATTGGATGCCAAGGATGACTCGCTGGCAGAGTTCCTGATTCTAGTGTCGATTTCCGCAGGTAATTTGTAGAAGTCTTCTATGAGTTTAGCATGGCCAAACTACGGTTTATGATGGTTTCGTTTCAGCGGCATCAAATGCAGGCTTATAATCGAACTTAGGATGTCATTAAGAGCAGACTGACTGATACACTGGGTTAGTGCGTTCAGTAGTGTTGCCTAAATGCTGATGCATAATGTACACCGATAGGCTTTGCAAATCAAAACTTCACACAAAATTAGCGCCGATTCGTTGTGGTCTACTTCCCGTCGTATTTCGCATTTCATGCGGCCTTATTATGATTATGTTTCGGCGTGGTCGTCGCGCAAATTTTTGTTTTATGTTTGTGTTGCGTTAATAAAGCTACTAAAAGAAAACAACGTGCATGTCGTGTTGAGGCACGTGCTAAACCACTTTTAATAACGTTAATATGATATATTAACGAGCAAAATTAGCTAAAATCAATCATCTTCCTGTCACTCTGTGTGGTCCTCGCTGAAGTGTGCGAAAACAGAAAAAAAAAGACGCATTGAGCCACTCACGTAAAGTTACGTTTAAGCACGTATCGATCATCCTGCGTCCAATGGCGGAAGTCAAGTGATACATCAATGCCGATTACAAACTGGTATGACTTTATCGTGCCGAAGTTATCGATGCATAAAGTGTTTTCAATTGTCATCATTTCGAAATCGAGAGGTAGTTCGTGCAAACTGAAATAAGCCTCGGAGCATCAAAGTATAGCAGGCCGA